CTCTGGGCAACTTGGGCCAGGGGCTCACCACCCTCAGTGTAAAAACCTTCCTTCTCTCTAGTCTAAATCTCCCTGGTTTAGCTTCAAACCATCACCCCTTGTCCTGTCCCAACAGGCCCTGCTCAAAAGTCTGTCCCCAGATTTCTGACAGGCCCCTTTAAGTCCTGAAAGGCCACCAGAAGGTCTCCCTGGAGCCTTCTCCTCTCCAGGCTGAACAAGCCCAGCTCTCAGTCTGGCTTCACAGCAGAGGGGTTCCAGCTCCCTGTTCATTTCTGTGGCCTCCTCTGGCCCTGCTCCAACGGGTCCATGTCTTTCTTGTTCTAAAGTCTCCAGAGCTGGACCCAGCACTGCAGAGCGAGGGCTTTCCCCTGCAGCAGCACCTCTCAGCCCTCTCTCCAGCCCCACCTGGGTGCAGACAGCTCCACTGTGGTGCCAAGTACCAGGAGCAGCCCTGCTGCCTGTGGGACGCCGGAGGGGAGCAGGGGGTGCCGAGGGGCCTGCCTGGGGCAGCATGGTACCTTGGGGTTCTTCAGGAAGCCCAGCTTGAAGGTCTCGTCGAGCTTGAGGTACTCGCTGCAGCTGCGCACGGTGGAGATGAGGATGATGCGTCGCTCCTGGCCCTGGAACTCCTCCACAGAGCCCACCTGGAGTGCGCACAGCTCGTGAGGGCCGGGGGGCACCCTCGCAGCAGGGTGGGCTCCTCTCCCCACCCTGCCCAGGACCGCACCTTCAGCAGGCTGATGTCCTGCAGCGCCCGCAGGACGGGGTCCAGGGAGGTGATGGCTTTCCGGATCTTCTCCACCTGGGAGAGGCACACAGCACCGTCCAGCCGCCACGGAGTCATCCCTGCCTCCAGCCCCAGGGCTGCCCCTCCGACCCAGTGACCCCCGTACCCCGGGGAAGCCTCTGCCCACCAGCTCCTCACCTGCTTCCTGTAGGGAGAGATGATGCCGATCTCCTTGGGCGAGACCCTGGGGCAGCCCCTCTTGCCCTGTGTCTGCAGCAGCTTCTTGAGGTAGTAGACCAGCACCTCGATCTCAGCCGTGTTGAAGAAGGAGGGGCTCTTGGCCTCTCTCTGATCTTCCCCACAAACCCCGTGGAAGATGATGGGGAAGCCCTGGGGATGGACAGCGTTGGGCTCAGCTCTGCGGCTCGGGGCTCCCCCTGCGCCCCCTCCCTGCTGCCCCCCTCACTTTTTTGGGAAGTTCCTCCCAGGTGCAATACAGACTCCGGACGTCGAGCTCTTGGCTCTCGCAGGCCTTCAGCTCGCTGTCGTAGAAGAGCTCGTTGGGGATTCTGAGGATGGCCTCGTGGGACTGCCAGGCAGCGCCAGCCCCATCCTGGGGCAGCAGGTGTGCCCGCCAGAGGAGTGCCCAGCAGAGTAGCACCAGCCCTGCCCGCCTGGCCCCACCTGTAGTTCCAGAGCAGCTTGGTGACGAACTGGGGGTTGTACCCTCCGCTCCCCTTCGCGTACAGCGGGTTGTGCAGCATCAGCCTCTCCAGCAGCGAGGTGCCTGTGCCCAGCAAGACCCCCGTGGCTCCCTGCGAGGCCGCTCGGCGCCGGGCACCGGCAGTGCTCCCACCCCTCTCCCCACTCACCCAAGCCGTGCTCCATGGCCAGCGGCGACCTCCGGACGGGGCCCAGTTGCTGGGGGTCTCCTGCCAGCACCAGCTGCCCCCCATTGGGGTTGGTCTCCTGGTCCATGGCCGTCAGGAGCCCTGGGCAGAGGGAGAGCTCAGCGGGGCCCGGGGGGGGTCCCTGGCAGCTCTGGTCCCTGAGACAGCAGCCAGACCCCACTCACCTGCGATGGCGACCACGCTCTCCGGCTCCACCGCCTGCCCACACTCATCGATGAAGACGTGGGAGAAAAACCCGGGGGGGAAGCTGGCGGACACTAGCCTGGGGGAGAGGTGGAGTGAGGCTGCCTCGGCATCCCTGGCTTTTTTTCATCCGCATCCTCCCGCAGAGGAGGTGTCCCTGCTGCTGCCTGCCCCCTCCACACTCCCTCCCCGCTGCGCCCCGTGGGGCTGCCCTCAGAGCCCAGCTGCGAGGCAGCCCTGGGTGCTGGGGACAATCCCAGCTCCTCCGACCTTCCCGCCGTCACCAGCGTGGTGATGAGGACCCGGTAGCGCCCCAGGTGCTCCTTGCTCGGGTACACGTAGCAGCTCTGCCTGTCGTCCCAGTTGCAGCAGGGCTGAAATGTGGATGCTCAGTGGGACCTGCCCAGGGGCTTCCAGCCCAGATGTGCCACGGGGTGCGGCGCAGAGGGGCAGGGACCTACCCTGATATCAGCAGGCACCTCCTGGTAGTTCCTGGAGCTGG